ATTGTACTTAGCTCAATGCACTAGACCCGACATCTCCTTCGCTGTTAATCTTTTGGCAAGATACAGCAATGCACCAACACGCAGACATTGGACTGGCGTGAAAGACATCTTCCGTTACCTTAAGGGTACTACGGATTTGGGCTTATTCTATCCCTACGAATCCTCGAGTGATGCCGCACCCTATGCTCATCGGGTTGATTCTCGCCTTATTGGTTATGCCGACGCTGGATACTTATCTGATCCGCACAAAGCGCATTCTCAAACGGGTTATGTCTTTACCGTTGGAGGCACCGCAATATCTTGGAGGTTAACTAAACAGACCTTAGTTGCCACTTCGTCTAACCATGCTGAAATTCTCACCTTACATGAAGTAACTCGGGAATGCTTTTGGTTGAGAGCAGTAGTGGGCCATATTCGAAGCTCCTGTGATCTTCACCCCGCCGTTAATGCCCCGACGACGATTTTTGAAGACAGCGCAGCTTGCATCGAACAACTCAAGAAGGGTTACATCAAAGGAGACAACACCAAGCATATTGCGTCGAAGTTCTTCGTTACACATCAACAGCAAGAGCATCAGAAGATTGAAGTCACGCAAATCCGATCACAAGACAATCTCGCCGACCTTTTCACCAAATCACTACCGAAGGCGATGTTTCAGAAGCTTGTTCATGGAATTGGTATGCGTAAACTTTCTGAGTTGTAACTTTGCTATTTCTCTTTGGAATTATGTCAAACTCAGGGGGAGTATCTTCTGGATACTTGCTTGATCTTAATGTACTCTTTTTCCCTACGATTAGGAGCATTTTTCCCACTGGGTTTTTGCTACCTAACTAGGTTTTAACGAGGCACCCACCTTAGGCTGGTCATATCCCTAATGACGTCCTGTAGACGTTTCTTTTGACTTTGCATTTCTCACGCATTTTTCCTTAAACTATGGATTTTGTCCCTACTTGGATTTTTGCCATAACCTTAGGGTTTTTTAGTGAGACTTACTACTTATGCAAGTTCCTACCTTATTGAGAATAAGCGTTGTTCCTTGGAATCAGTGCCAACGAGTCGACTTCCTCAACTTCTGCATGATGCTGAATCTACCTTGAGTATTTACACACTCAAGGGGGAGTGTTGTAAACATTCCTAGTTTAAGTATGATTGTGTAAATCCTAGATAAGATTTGATTCTAGTTATCCTTTCCTATTACAACTTGTATTACTTGGAGGAGAAGGAATATCTTCTCTCCCTTTACTACTATAAATAAAGGCACAATGTAGGAGGGATAACAACACACACATTCCCCTACAATTCTACAAACACACATCTCTCTCCTCTCTCTCTGCCGCCGGCCCTAGTCTCTCTGTCAGATAAATATAGACCACAACAATTACAAGTGTATTTTTCTTTTTATTATAGAAAGTTTGAAGTGTAAAATAAAATTTTTGAAGTGGTAGTAAGAATTCTCTTTATTTAATTACAATAATTTAATGAAATTAATAAAATCCTGTTAATTAAAATTGAAAAACCAATTCTGCAATTAAGTCGGATATTAATCTTGTTTACCATTTATAAACCCAAAATCATCGAATCTTGTACACTAGGGATTAGGGAATGCATGTAATCAACTAGGAATGTGACACATGACAAAAACGGTGTCCCATCTTTATGAGAAGGAGCAAAACAGAGATAGGAGAGAGAAGAGAGATCGGCCCGCAAATTCCAATCCCTAACAGCCATGAGAGTCCCTCATCCCACAAACCATCCATCAAAGTCGGGCACAGCCCCAGCGGAGGATGACCCTGACGCAACCCGACCCACAATGCCCGGCCTGGGCATGTCGGTGGCCGGCGGGCTACGGAAGAAGGGGCTTGGCGTGCGGCCATGGTTGCTTCTGGACTCGAGCGGGCAAGCCCAGGTGGTAGAGGCCGGCAAGCACGCCATCATGCGGCGTACAGGTCTACCCGCTCGGGACCTTCGGATCTTGGACCCGCTTCTTTCATACCCGTCTACGGTTCTGGGTCGAGAGCGAGCTATCGTGATCAACTTGGAGCACATCAAGGCCATCATCACCGCCCAGGAGGTCCTGCTGCTCAATTCCCGAGACCCTTCTGTGACTCCATTTATTGAGGAGCTTCAGCGGCGGCTTTTGCGCCACCACCAAGCCACCACCAAACCCGCAAAAACCCAGGTTTCAAAAAGTTTCAATTTTTCGTCTAGTTACCGTTCTTTACGATCGTAATTGTGATTTCTTGTATTGGGTTGTGTTGTGTTGTTATTGTGATTTTGGTTTTGTGTTGTTAATTTTGGGTGAGAAGGAGGGCAATGGCGAAGAATCGAATTGGTATGGCATGGAAGAAGCAGAGGCAAATGCACAGGTGAGAGGAGCGGCTGGTGGAAATGGGGAAGGGGAGGCAACAGGGAAGCAAGGTCTGGAGGATAATCGTGATGGTTTGAAGGTCCTGCCTTTTGAGTTTGTTGCATTGGAGGCATGCCTTGAGGCTGCTTGCAGTGTCTTAGAGAATGAAGTAAGTGAATATCCTTTTCCAGACTGCCTCATTCAACAATCCGTTCCATCCTTTCTAACTTGTTTTCCTTGTTTTTGTGGATTTGATAATAGGCACGGACATTGGAACAAGAAGCTCATCCAGCTTTAGATAAGCTCACTTCAAAGATTAGTACTCTCAATTTGGAACGCGTCCGCCAAATCAAGAGTCGCTTGGTTGCAATTACCGGCCGTGTTCAGAAGGTTAGCATAGCATTTGATAATCCAGACCCTTTCCTTTCATGGAAAAAATTAAGTGTCAGACTTTTGTCGTGGATTAACCAATGCATGAACTAGATCACTTGCTTGGTGCTAAACTTGTTATGTATTATGTTGGCCTCTAGGTGAGGGATGAACTAGAACACTTGCTTGACGATGATGAAGATATGGCGGAAATGTATCTAACTGACAAGTTGGTTCAGCAACATCTTGAAAATTCGTCCACTTCCTCTTTGGGTGAGAGAGATGACATGGATCCTGAAGCTCCACGATCAGACATGGATGACAGGCAAGGCAACTCATAATCTCATTCTCATTTTAATTTATAGAAATGCCAGTTCTTCGCTTCTTTAATTTTCCTATTGTATTGTATCAGGGGTCCTACTGAAATTTCAATGGAAACTGGTGGGGATCCCTTGAATTTTGATGGTGATCCTCAAAACAGTGATAACCACCGGCATCAATATCTTAGAAGGGACAGCCATGTGACCACTACTAGCTCCACACATAGTGCTATGGGAAAGGTCCTCGATGTAGAAGAGCTTGAAATGCTTTTGGAGGCATATTTTGTGCAGATTGATGGTACACTAAACAAGCTATCCACGGTACGTGAATATATTTTACCTCTCAATTTTGTTCAGTGCAAATATCTGTCAGTGAACATAATTTAAAATAGAGAGTGGTGACGTAGAGTATGGTGATGCCAGCAGCCAGCCTAACACTTGCACTGGAGGCCAGTTCAGTGATCCCCATCTTCACAACACCAGCCATTGCTGGTATCTGGGGGCTGCTCCCATGAGCAGTGCCCATGGCAGTGGATGGGCGCTTTCTCATTAAAGCTAGTAAAATTAAAAAGAAATATAAAAGATATGGTTAAAGACATTTTAGTAATATTGGGGTTAGATAGTAGGTGGGTTAGTAAAGGTTTTCCTAAGTTGAGGTTCATCTGTTGTAATCAATTTCTTCTGAGGAGCGTAAATATACATCTGTTTGTCTTATGGTCAGTGTTGTTGCATATGAGAATTGCAACCATGATCAGCGTTAGGCTTTCCCTTGGTTTAGGGAAATTCTTCACAGTTAGCTATGAAATCGCTGTTTTTCTGCAACAGTTTTAACTCTGTCGATAGTATCTCTCGATAGAGACTATGATTGAGATATAGATAATGTGAACTCTTTTTCTAGCCTGTTTGATCACAATTTTTCCTAGTGAAAGATATAGATCATGTCTTGTGAAGTTTAAGGATTAATATTTTTTTTTTATGTAATTCATTGTTATTCATGGAATCTCCTCCTCTTATCATCAACAAATCTCTTCATGTATTTTGTTCATTTTAATATTTGTAGTGTTTTATTTTTTGTATATGTTTTTTTCTATTTTACATTGTTGTCTTTTTGCAGTTGAGGGAGTATGTCGACGACACGGAGGATTACATCAACATAATGTTGGATGACAAACAGAACCATCTCCTGCAAATGGGGGTCATGTTGACAACAGCAACCCTCGTTGTGAGTGCCTTTGTTGTTGTAGCTGGTATCTTCGGCATGAATATCCAAATTGAGCTATTTGATAAAGAGAAAGCAGGGATGCGAGAGTTCCTCTGGACTATTGGTGGCAGCACTGGCGGGACCATATTCTTATATGTGATAGCTATTGGATGGTGCAAGCATAAGCGCTTGCTGGAGTAGTGAGGCCAGGCTGTTTATCATCAAGAACGTACCTAAAACGGAAGTGTATGCTGTGTTTTGGTAGACGTCCTTTGGTTACGCCAGCACGACTCTATACAGCTTCTTCGTTTACTGTACGTAATGCCAATATGCATGCAATAAATATGCACATATTGTTCTTTATTTTCGTAAGAGAATAATGTTTCAGGGTGTGGAGGAGGATCTAAATGGTTCGATCCCTCCTCCTACCTTGTGCTCCTGACCATTAACTGGAATACTAGTCGAGGAACCGATGAAGAAAGGGTCTAAGTTTGAGGAATCTTAGGCGTCGTGAATTGGCAGAACTCAACTCACAATGTATCCTGTATGACATTTTGAGTTATACATGTAACAAACTTGAATTTGAGATTGGTCATGTGTGACCGGAGTCCCGTCCCGCCGTGTTGGTGTTAGATAATTGTACATTTCTTTCCAGTAGTGACATATGTCTCGGGTCCGAATCTCCGCATCGCGCGTACAAGTAAAATACATATTGATGTTTTGGAGCTTGTGGGTGATATGTGATTGAATATAGAGGTCTTAGTTGCACCAATCCTTTCTATTTGGATGAATGTTTTTAACAGCAGTACACATATGGTGTGTCTTTACAAGTCATCTATCTTTGTTTCGGTCCACATCGGTTATTTCCGGATGAATGTATATGATTTCTTTCTTGAGTTGCACTCCAAATTTCTGATCAACCTTTTCCTTCACTACAGCAAGGAGGTGAAGCATGTCTTGAGAGGTTGAGCCACCGCAGTTTATGAAGAAATTTGCATGCATTTTGGATACCATTGCCCCTCCCACTCTAAAACCTTTCAACCCGGCTTTCTCAATCAACTCAGCTGCTGCAACCCCCATATCCAATGGATTGCGGAAGACTGAGCCAGCGGTTTGTTCCCCAACCGGTTGAGACATTCTTCTCCTGCAAATGTAGCCACACTACACCCATAAGAATCTGCAAATCACCTCCTTTTTCTATAAGAATTTTAAACTTGCAGGGAAAGTGATATCTCACACCCTTGATTATTTCTGGCGTTTGGATTCAATAAATCAAAGGAGAATTAGGGGACACAAATAAAAAGGAGTGTGCGGAAATCATTCCTCGTTGGAAAAACTTCTCTCTCTCTCTCTAGATGAACTAGACTACCTTTCCATGTATTCATGCTGCCTTCTCTTCGCTGATCCTGAATGCTGCAGTTCAAATGTAACAGCAATGATGGCTGCCAATTCTTCCATAACTTGAAATGGAGATGACCTATACCCGAAAACGAGATCAGTTCTGCTAAATCTAAGAAACTTCCCAGTCATTGTTACAAATTCAACACTACGTATAGCATTAGCGGTCTCCTGCCCGTTTGCTCCAGCATTCATATAAGTAGCTCCTCCCACAGTACCAGGAATTCCTCCAGCAAACTCGAGTCCTGTGAATCCTTCATTGGAGCATTGCACCCCTAACCGGTTAAATCGAAAGCCACTTCCAACTCTGTATATACCAGGTTCCTTCTTCCAAGAACTCAATCCGGTTCAATATTACACAACCATCAAAACCCACATCATCAAACAAACAGTTTGAGCCTTTACCAATGACAATGAACCTGATTGAATGCTCACGGCAGAATCTGCATAGTTTTCAACCAAGCAAACCATTTTACTGAATTTGGGTCCAGTTTGTAATAAATTAGTAGTTTACCTCGTTAACTCGGAAAAAATCGTCTGCAAAATTTTTTGTCTTCATGAAAAGCAAAATAGAAGATCAGATGGAATGCTAAACAGACAATGGGCCTGGTAGAAGCAAAAACCGCTTTCTGCCAACTAACAGTGCTTCTCACTACGTTTGATTGAATTTTTTTAAAGTACTTCTAGTTTGTAGAAGCGCTTTTTGGAGAAGCACGTCAAAGCGTAACACTTGTATTTTTAGTAAAAATTCAACCTTCTTCAAATAAAATGACTACTAGTTAAAGCGCTTATGAACAAAATTGTTTTCTACATAAACAATCTCAAACAGGCCCATTTCAGACAGATTAAAATGCATAAATGTATTTGTAATCCAGAATTTAAAAAAAAAAAAAAAAAAAAACCCAGAAATCAGCTTTCAGAATTTGAGACCACAATCAAATTCAGAGGATGTATTGCATTATATAACTAGAAAAGAAATGCAGAACAACACCTGATAGCAGAAACAAGTTGGGTCTGATCGAATACTTGGATAAAATAATTGCAAGGGCCTCCAATGCCCCAAGTGCTGAGATCCTTCAACTGCTTCTTCCCCCGAATAAATTTCAACCCCTTGCAGTTGTGGGTTTGTCCTTGGTCTTTGCTGAAGCTGCTGCTTTGACTGCACAGAAAGGGAAAAGGGCCTCTTGTTCTTGGTGCATGCAGCAAGATCCCAGGAGACCTGTAGCAGGGAGGGATTGACAGGGAAGGAGAAGGGTTCATTGTTAACAGTTTTTCATGCGTTCTTGGAAGAATCGTTGGTTTTTTTTTTAACTGCACTACTCATTAGTTGAAAAGTATTCACACTATTGGGCTTTCCAAAACAAGTCAATCTCAACTAGAGCCCACAACCAAAACACTGTTCTAAATTGAGCCCAACCCTAGAGAAAATTGTAACAAGTCCCTCAAATTTAACTTCATTGGAGCAATGGTCCCTCAATTAAAAATTCATGATCATTGGTCCCTTAACTCATCAAAATGTGCAGATATGGTCCTTTTCGCCAACTCTGCCAAAATTGTGTCAAAATGAATCATGTTGGAAGGACCATTGCTACAATTGGGTTAAAATTGAGGGTTCATTACTCCAATTGGGTTGAAGTTGTGGGTCTATTTCTCCAATTGGCTAAAATTGATGGATCATTACTACAATTTTGCATATTTCTTTTTCCATATTTGCCCATTGATTCAGCCTCAAGTGTGTGGCACATGACTTATTTTGATGAAAGTTCTAATGGAGTTGACAAAAAAGACTATAGTTGCACGTTTTGAAGAGTTAAGAGACCAATAATCATGAATTTTTAGTTGAGGGACCATTGCTCCAATTAGGTTAAATTTGAGAGATTATTGCTACAATTTCCTCCCCAAGGATATTAGGCCCAAGCTATCTGCTATTCATTTTCTATTTCATATCATTCCTATATTTAGTAAAATTCCAAATATAGACTTTTACAAGATTGCTTTCTTTCAAGATTAGGTCTTTTTACATTCGCCTCTTGTAAGATGTAGCCCTTTAGTTTATGTAATTGTCTTGACAATTTGAGACTTATTCTTTCTTTTGTGTCAATAGGATGAAAATATGCGTTTAGGATAAGTTTTTCTTCTTTCCCTTAGTTTGATTTGTTAACATATTTCCATTATTGATGGTAAATGCACAAAAAATGTCCCGGTGGTAACTGCAATTTTCTTTCATACTTTTTATAAGCTCAGTTCTTATTTTTGGTGTGGAGTATGATACTAAGATTGTACATATTAGGTTTTTGTTTTTTCGTTTTTTATAGTACGGAATAAAATTCGAATTTGAATATTTTTTAGGATTTTTAATTAAAATGGTCTCTGAGATTTGCATAACTTCTTACTGTGGTCCCTGAGATTTGAAATTGATAAAATTGGTCCCTGCGTTTGTCCACAATCAATCATTTTGGTCATTCCTTGAAAAATCTTCATAAAATAATGATAAAATGATAAAAATACCCTCAATTTTTGTCAAATCATTTGGGCCTATTGTTTATCATATTGAGTGTTATTTTGTTATTTTGATCATTATTTAACACAATTTTTTACTGAATGACCAAAATATTGATGGTGCACAATCTTAGGGACTAAATTGAGGAGTTGGGCAAATCTCCTAGACCATTTTGGCTAAAAAAACCTCAAAAATATGGTATTGGGCAAGTACACAGTAAAGTTTACATTGGCCGAACCCCGAACATATTTGCAGTAAATCTACCACCTTTGTTTCTCAACCCCTATAATTGGGTGTAATAATTAAGAACTTTTGCTAGGATGAAAAGCTTTCACTTTCTATCTGAGTTGTATACATCGATCAAGATCTCTATAATTCTAAGAAGGTAGATCTTTGCATTGCTCCTATAGCTGCAGGTGCAGGTACCTTCTGACTAATTCATAATTTATCATGCAGGACATGCAGATCCATGGAAGAGACGATAAGAGCTGCTGAGACAGAGGTCTTACGAATTGGGAACACTCGAAATTAAATGGCACTGGAGGCAGCTGGGACTCAATGTTACAACACAACAAGAAACAACAAAACCCTTCCCTACTTTCCTTTCCCCCTCTATTCTAATATGTTTGCAGGAATTGGAGGTTTTGTCTTGTAGGTGGTTGGAAGGGCAAATGGTGTTTTCCCCCATATCTTTTTTTAATCTTATCCAGTTGTCTTATGCTTTTCTGCAATATGATGGAATGCAGTGAGGCAAAACATGACTAGCCATCACTATGGAATGCAGTGAGGCAAAACATGACTAGCCATCGCTATCAAGGAAGAAAATATCGGTAATATCGGAAATATCGGTAGTCCGAAAACACGGAAATATCGATGGAAATATCGGGATAATATCGATATCGATAAAAATTACATGGAAACCACGGAAATTATAAGAAAAACTTGAAAATTTTTATTGAAACTTTGCAGGATGTTTATTTAGTCAATTATCTATTAGTTTATCACAAAAAATTGGAAGAAAATGCATTGCATGATGAATTTAACTGATTTAAGTGGATTATATAGCAAGCTGTCATATGCAAATTTGTTACTTGCAAAAAGAATTCAAAACAAAACCATATATATAAATATTTTAGCATATTTTCACGAAAACATAAGTGATATGGTGGTCAAGGTGTTGAAGGGTAGCAGTTCCGTTGCTTTAAAATCTCAATCCATTAACCGAGTCCAAGTGTGCTCAAAACCCTCAACAACAACAATCTCCCATTCTCCCAAAATACCCCTACTGCACCTCCCATTCTCCCACCCCACCACCAAACAATCTCCGTCATTTCAGTCACAACCCAGGTCCTCTTTCGTCCACCCAAAATTCCCCCACCCTTCTACTCTGTCCGAACTTCACCGAAAACCAAGAAAGGCAGAAAGGGGAGAGAGAGAGAAGAGAGAGAGAAATGGAGTTCAATTTCAACACCAACAGGGCGAGGGCGGAAGCGGAGCGCCGTGAAGCTACTGTCGGCGCATGACTTGTAGGAGACCAAGACTTTCGCGATCCGAGCCCGAGAGACTGACCCCAGGCTCGAGGCCACCGAGCAGATAATTGCCGTGCCGACACTCTTCTCGCCATTGAATCCCAGATCAACAACCAAAACCAACAGCCCGACTGGTACGCTATTCTCCAACTCGCCCAGTACACTCAGAACCTCAAAATCGTCGCGACTCAGTACCGTCGACTCGCTCTTCTGCTGAACCCCCACCGGAATCGCTTCCCTGATTATGCCTTCCGGCTGGTCTTCGAGGCCTGGAACGTCCTCTCTAACCCCACCAAGAAGGTCATGTACGACCACGAGTTGAGCATGTTCAACCGGTTCGACTCGCCCCCATCCGGGTTGACTCAGCTGTTCGAGAGACGATATTATCGATTCATCTCACAATATTATCGGTAATATCGCGATATTATCGATATTATCGATAATATCGCGATATTTGGACGAAAACTCATTGGATATGTGTTAAAATATCCTTCTCTCCCAAAACCGATATTATCGGCGATATTTCGCCGATAATATCGGCATTTTCTTCCATGATCGCTATATATATCTTTGACTTTAAATTGCTTTAAATTGCTGGATATTCTTTTAGAATAATAATTGAACTTGATACTTCTTACAGACAAATTACAATTTGACAAAAGTGCATAACTTTTTATTTTGTTGTTTTATAATCACTTATGTATGTGTCAGTTTGTAATTTATAATGAAGCAAGAATAGCTCATTAACTGTAAGCATTCAATCTGCATTCTTTGTTTTATTATAGGGAACTATAACGAAAAGCTCCCGGTACTGTTCACTTTAACGAAAAACCATATTTTACACTAAAAAGTCAATCTTAGTATTATTCACTTTACCCTTTATTTTATCTTAAAACTCAAAGTTTTCAAATCCTTTTCATCAGTTTTCCTTTTATTTTTATTAGGGAACTTTAACAAAAAGCTCCAAGTACGGTTCACTTTAACGAAAAACCACATTTTTACAATAAAAAGTCAATTATAATACTATTCATTTTACCCTTTATTTTATCCTTATCGTTAAAATTCAAAGTTTTCAAGTCATTTTCATCAATTTTCCTTTTATTATATGTTTCTTTCCTTTCTTTTTGGGTTTCGATTGACTGCATGAAAGACTCCCGTTACTGAAACCCCAAATTTTAAAAATCCAAAACAACATGTGGGTAAGACTTGGAATTTTGACAACTTTGACATCCTAAATTCCCAAGTTCCATTTTATCTTTATCCTCTTTCAAACTTTTGAATAGAAACAAAGTTTTTATTCCAATAGGAATTGGATTTTAGGGAATAAAGAATGCCAAGGAATGACACATAATTGTCATGACATAAAGTCCAATGACAGCTTCACAGCAGACAAGCTGGGAGTGTGCAAAATTACATCAACAAATAGTATTTAAAATAGTAAATAACAAATTAAAGGGATCCTTCCAAATGAGATAAAGAAGCACACATTAAACAAGATGGGGGCGTGTTCCATTCGGTCAGGGAGATCTCAGGCAGGGTCTCCCTGGCCTTTAGAGAAAAATTCATGGAAAAAAAGCATATAAATATTCCAACATTTTAGTTTGGCCTTTCCATCCCTCATTTTTCTGTACTTTGATTAGACTGCCCATCACCCATTACACTATGAATTAGTTTGGTATTGCTGTGTTTTGAAAAAAAAGTTGTTTTTGATGTGCTATGAGAATAAGCGGCTGTGAAATAAAGCTGTAGAGTGTTTGGTAAACTTTTTTGTAAAAATGCTTTTGAAAAAAAAAACAGTATTATAGTGTTTAGTAAACTTTTATGCAAAACAGATGTGAAAAAAAACCGGTTTTTCAAAGCTAGGTTTTGCAGCTTGGCCTTTTTTTACCCAAAACTGTGAAAAAAAAGCTAAAGCTAAATGTTTACCAAACACAAAAAAAACTGAGAAACTCCCAGTTTTTTTTCATACCAATTTTTTTTTTAATCACCTTAATCCCAAACTGCACCTACATCATCCTGTCTGGATTTTCATGTGCATTCTATACTCTGATCAGACTGCCCATCACCCATTACACTATACATCATCCTGTCTGGATTTTCATATGCATTCTAAGCCCTAAAATTTTTACGAGGGCACAAGTATATGATTATTCATGCATGGATGGAGCATTTGTCTGGACTTTAGGGACATCAAGGGTCTTGTCCTTATTAATGCCTAAAGTTTTTATTTTTTATATTTTTCCAAGATTTTGGTTTTACGATCTGGATAGATTGATTGAAAGCTTTATCTAAAATGCAGATTTGATAAGGAAATCCCACCTAATCAAATGTGATGATGATTTAGCCTTTTTCATCATGTAATTTGTGTACTAGGCAAAAGAGATAGGTGAATTCTTTATTTTTGTCCTTACTATTTGATTTAACTGGTTTAATTAATTATTGGAAACATCTATCTTCTTTGTTATGCTGAAAAAGTACATGAATTGGGTGGGGGAATAATGGCTGTTGACAAATTTGGAAAAGAAACTCAAATCCAAATAGTAGTAAGAACTCACGATATTAAACCTCAAATTTTCTCATTTAATTGTTATGAAAACAACCATTTTTTGACTTCTGGTTTTCCTTAAGTTATGGAATAAGAAAACTTGGAGACATTTTAGGCACTGCAATGCAATGGCATGGTAAAATAGCATGAGGATACACAAAAATATAGAACAATAATTCTCGCACTCTTTGCATTTTCATGTACACTTTAATTTATTTATGATATTTGAGTTGAATAATGCAAATAAGAATCAATGAACAGAAAATAACATAAATGTACCTAAAAAGAAAATGAGTGTGCATAACTTATTTCGAAAAGATTAAGTGCTGCATTGGATACACATAGACTGCCTAAATAAAAAAGCTTAGCCCTTTTCTAATTTGTTGAAAAGGTGGTAGGGAAAGAGGTCACCTCATTTGCACCACCTTTCCCACTGCATTGACAGGTAAAAGAAAAATAGAAAAGAAATGAAAAAGAAAAAGGAACATGCAAGATCCCTTTCGAGATCCAATTCCATCCAACTTTTGCAGCCTCTGTAGATCCGGATTTGGATCCTCTCCGAGCCAATTGGTCGGATCTTCCTGATCAATGTTAGTAGACTGTTGAATTTTTATCTAACGGCTACAATTATTATAATTTTTAGAGGACTTCCCTATTTGTAGTCATTGAGTAAAAATCCAACAGTCCACGAACACTGATCAAGAAGATCCGACCAGTTGCCTCAGAGAGGATCCAAATCCCTATAGATCCCACCATTCCCTTCTACTAGAGCTAGCAACTATTGCAGCAGCTGCCATATAATCATGTAGCTAGTAGAAATACAAAGAGCAGAAGATTCCCTTTTCCCTTAACCTTTCCCTTATATCTCGTTCCCATTCCGTAGCTACCCTTGAAACCACCTACATGTCAAGAAAGAAGCTCATTCAGTTTAAAGAACACAAGGAAATTAAGGAATGCAATGTATTGTAAACTAATGCATAAATTGTAATAATGTTTTTCAAGGAAGAAGAAAACAAATGAGGACTCACTGGTTATTTCCAGATGGATTACTAGATTGTAAGAAACCAAATTGCAGGTCTTGGTATCCAGATCTCCCCTGCAAGAACTTAATATTTTTATTAATCTTTTTAAACCATAAACCCAAAAAACACAAATTTTACAATAACTAAGCAAAAAACGAAAACAAGTACCCGAAAATGTGTAGATGAGAAATCTTGTGAATAATCCAGAACACTGCTTCCAGAAGCTTGATTATTTGACCCAATGAAGTTATTCTGCAAAAATTTCAGGACCCCATCAAATATGATAAAAACCCATTCACATTAATGGATACATCAGTGCATGTTGATAAAATTTAACATAATTTTGGCCACAATACTTATATGTATTTAATACATCACCATTTTGACAGTCAAATGATGATTGTGTAAAATACATATAATCACTTCAAGTATTAACCGTTAGATGATGATTGTGTTAAATGCATGTGAGTATTATAGTCAGTCTCTTAGTTAAATACTAATTACCTTGGAGTAGTTGAAGACAGGAGAGCTAGCAGTGTCATCTAAAAAAGATTGCTGTTGTTGTTGATCACCACACGAGCGCCTACCTTTTCCTTTGATATTATTTCTTTGCTTCCTTTTTCCTCCAATCTTCAAATTTTCTGCATCCTTGGATATTTGAGGAGGATAAGAACACCCATTATTATTATTGTTGTTGTTTTCATCAAAGTGGACCTCATTTTCATTGAAATGTGGAGGCCCAGAAGATGCATCAGAAACCATTGATTGATCTTCTTCTTCATCATCCGGCTCCTCATCAACTTGTATATCACAAAAATCAGACTTTCTCTTTCCATTCATATCTCTGCTTCGTGAAGCACTTGGAATATGAGAAAGATAATCAGAGTGCACCAAGTATACAGTCCAACCAGACTCACAACCACTACTGCATTCTGAGGCAAACACATTCATTTTTCTACTCTCCCCCTTTCACAAACTATAATCTCAAATGGTTTCGATTCCTTTTAATATAACACAAAGAGAGAGACATATAGGTAAATAATATAGAGGAATATCAACAACTCTCTCTCTCTCTCTAATCTCTGTCTAGTTAATTAAGTAGATATTGATATATGGTATATCTCAATGGAGGACTTGTGGAATGTGTCTCTCTATATTTGGACTTCACACACCAAAAGTTATGTAAACATATAGGAGAGTGTGGAGTGAATTTAAAAAGAAAGGAAAAAGATGAATAATTTGACTTGTTTTGTACCGACTCTGACTCACCTATTTTCCCCATTCAGCTCTTTGTGAGAATGAATCAAAAATGCCAGTTGGGAGGAGGATTATAGTGGGTGAATGAGAGACAGAGAGAGAGAGAGAGAGAGAGAGATTAAAATTAAAAGAGAGAAATAGCTAGAAAGAAAGAACGAAAAATATGAAATAAGAGAGGCACAATATCCCTTCACATGCTAAGACAGCTAGGCACTGTGTACCCTCTTAACATAACTGGGTACACGTCCATTTCCCCTTCCTCGACCAGTATATGGACACCTATCCCTTCATATCAGTACTAGTCATTGCCTCTCTCTCTCTCTCTCTCTCTCATCGTTGGTGGTGATGACATTAACTTGATTGGATCGGGCATGGGAGTTTTTAAGTATGAGATTTTTCGAGCAATCTTGTGGTCCTTGTAAAGATGTTCTGCATGTTATATTGAACTAATAATTTCACATATTCTTCAAGTTCAAGATACTTTCCTCCTTTCTGATATTATTAGTTAGCGGGGTTTACTGTGTTTAGGCAATTTGACCTGGAATCTACGGCGCCTTAATTTCCGCTTGAAAGTACCTTATATAAGCCAACTTTTTCTACCTCTATGTGATTGACTACATACAAAAGAGTTAGTAAGAGTTAGTAAGAGTTACTGAAAGTGTTATGAAAGTAATTCTACTCAGGTTTATAGAAGGATTTCTCAACATTGGTTGTATTGCAAAGATGAATAATGCTAAAAACAATCATTCATGTACTCGTGAATAACAATATATCATAGATTTATGTGAATTTACTGCACATGCATGCGACTCATACTAATTGATGAATAACAATCACCCATGTGTCCATAATTTTTACGATATATTCACATATGCGTAGTTTGGCTATATGTTACTTCACTTGTAATTAGAATACATAAGATTTAGACTAGATCTAGACATAACCAAATACAACACTGCAAAGGAATGCAGGACAAAAGGTAGGTGTATTTGTAAGTTATTGTTTACTCTCAAGAATCAAGCCACAATTGTGGAGCCAAAAATATTCACAGGGCGACACGTGGATTTTTGGACAAAAATGACAACAATACCCTTGCAGTACAACGAGGTTCCTACGCGCAAGCAGCGGGCAACCCTCTTTCAACCAAGACAGAAGTGCCCAAAATAGGTAACAATTCAAAGTCCATCTCATCAAATCCTTTCTACAAGGTAATTCCCAAACACATTCCTTTTAAATTATGTTAATTGGCTAATTACTGGGTTTATTGCCTAATTAACCCATTAATTGTCAATTAAACCATCCATTATATCCAAATAACTACAAAATACATCCAATTCAACCCTAAAACACCACATGGCCGGCTATCCCCATTTCAAAACCTAATCCATCACTTTTTTCTACCTTTTTCACCATTTCTTCCTTTTTATTACCCAATAAATTCAAAAACCACCAAAACATTCATCTTATGTTTAATAGCCAAATAAATTGGCTAATTAAACCTAAAAACCCTAGCCACCTCCTATCCCTATAAATATACTCCCATTCTCACCAAAAAGCTAATTCCAACACTTTGGCAAAAATCCCAAAATTCTCTAAACACTCTTTCTCTCTAAATTCTAACTTTGGCATCGGAGGTTCTTCGGCCAAAGCTCCCCCCCATTCATCGTGGGCGCGTGAGGCTTTTGGCCTTAACCTAAGGTGCTAGTTGTTTTGTAGGTGCAAAAGCGTCCAAGATCGAAGAGGAGAAAATTTGCATCCACAACAATAATTAAAAAGGTTAAGCACAAATTAAAAGTTTAATTAGGGCATGGCTGCATGAGTGGAGACTGTAGATATTTCTTGGGGCAAGGCGCAGTTGACTGGGTGTTTCTGAATCCACATGCAACCACATTCACATCTCTCTCTCTCTCTCTCTCTCTCTCTCTCTCTCTCTCTCTCTCTCTCAAATTCTGCAGAGAGATTTACTCTTTACCTCTAAGGACTCACACACGCATGTGGGCACGTGTGCATATGCATATGCAGAATTCCCCGCATATATACACACGTCTGCACGTTCACACGCACTCCAACCTAAACTGCTCTTTCAAAGCTGCATTTTAAAATTGGTCACTTGTGATGACATATATTTATCTTTGGTACTACTTCCAAAGTTCCAATTAACGTTAACTTCCTTCACTCTTCCTTCACATCTTCCCTTTCAAATTTTTTGTTTTCCTTCCTCCCATTTTATACAATGTGCTCTAATTGGTAATACTTTTATTATTTATGTATTGAATATTCTCAAAAAAATGTTTAAGACAAAGTAAAGTATATTACGCATGTGGTGGTCAAATAGCGGGGCACAAGAATAGGTGCTAATTACTTATCCACAATCGCATAAACTATCATCAACACATATCTGATAATAATTAACACATATAAGGTTGTATATAATTATTAACTTTATATAAACGAGCTAAACGTACGAAAAGGAATGAAATGTTCGATCACTCTTTCTCTCTCTCTCTTGCGCATTTAACGTGATCTTGAATGTTTAACACATCCTAATATATTTATGCATTGATTAATGATCAGAATTAATTTACGTGCGTGTTCATACACACTTAGCACTGCTCATGCATGTAATGGATGAAAAACCTAGTGGATCAATATAGTAAATGAACCAGTAAGGCCACCACACCTATGTATACATATATGGTACGAAGGTGAAACTTTAAAAAGCCATGTGCATTCCCCCTTGGATCACTCAGTATTAATAGCCCATTCATCATTATTAGGGACCTCGAAGTGTAACTATCAAACCCATCCAATTTGGCAGTGTACTAGTTTGTACCTTCCAATATTAATTTGATCTCTCTCTCTCTCTCTCTCTTTCTCGATTGATTGAAGAAAAAAATAGGTACCAAAGGTTAGTAATATGACCTGATTCAAAATCGACCAATTAATATTATCAAATAATATGATCCGTTACACATTAAAGAAAATTTATTTTAAATCAATAAATAATGAAATTGAAAAACATAATTTGACAAAAAAAATAGAAAACATAATGCTAAATTAGTATATGCATATCATATTATCACATAAATATTGCTGTAAAACATAAAAAAAAATACATTTGTCTTTTAAGTATTACATACTTCAAAATAAGAGCCCAATGAAAAACATTAGTACATTACTATAAAATACCAAATGTTTAAGGATATGCAATATTAAGGGAGTTGCGTTTCAAAGTTGAGAAACCCTGCACGTTTATATATGCTTTCACATTTTTTAGACGTGTACGTTAATGATTATGTATTTTATTTATTTTGAACTCCCTTAAAAATACTATTCATGAGGGTTTGTATGATTTTAAAAATTCAAATGATAATGTACCCATATGCATAGTATAGAGGATGTGATCACAACCCTTTGGATATTTTTTCACATTTTTCACACTTTGTAAATTAATTAGTATAATCTTTTTAATGTTTTTGGTATTATTGAATTACTTGATACTTTTATTTTTAATGTGTTTTATAATTTTTTTAATCTTACTCTTTGCCTATAGTATACTATAAAAATAAATAAATAAATAAAACTTACATTTTTTAAATTTATATAGAATAATAATACAATAATACATATTTAATATACAAAGAATACATATACGCTAAGACTATTGTACTTTATAGTAAGTTTTTTAGTAGTTTAAAAAATTAAAATCATCAAAATAACTTTTTTCTTAACATGTCGAAATAGGTTACCTGCGTGTAAACTTATTAAGGTTATTAACGGGTTCTTATCGTATGACCCGATAATGACCTGATTAGTTATCGTGTTGACCCGAAACCCGTTATTTTCGTATCGTTTACGTGTCATGTTAACAAGTCGTGTAAGAAATTGCCAAGTCTAGCATGGAGGAATGACTTCGAAACTAGTTATTGTAATGTTAAATTTGTGATTCATAGTTGTAAGGATGAATTTTATTTTGCACCCTTAGGTTTAAGTGCAATTGCAATCTCATACAACAACTTTAAAATATTGCAATGTCTTACAAAAACTTACAAATTTACAATGTCAAACATCCGTTAATCAATCTGTTAATTTGACCGTTAAATGATGATAAGTTAATTGTAGGTACCAAATGTTTTTTCCACCTTCCTTTTCCTTTTCCACCTTTCTATTTTCTCTGGCCTCAAAATCAAGACAAATTAAGAGATGACATTCAAGAAATCCAGCATAGAAAATCTGTTCCAAAGGGTGGGTGTGGAGAGAGATCTGCTCCGATTTTCCACTACTATTTGAGATACTTAACACCAAATTTAAGATCAACACAAAAAGCTAAGACAAAAATTTCAAAAAATTTCAAAACTTTTTTTTGACATAACTTATAGGTGATTAGCCTCATATTTGTGATAACGGATGATGATGGCTGTTCATTTTAGGATAAGACATGCAATGATATAGAGAAATGAAGCGAGAAAGCTTTTGATATAGGCCTAATCGGATAAATGGTTCCCGTGGTCATAAGGTATTCAGAAGATAGCTTGCAGGTGGGTCTCATGGGTAACACTAAGATGGTCATTTGCACCCAGTTGCCCATCAGCTTCCACACCATTGTCACAGATAATTGAGTGAACCTTTTTCCGTCTTGCAGCGACATCATTCCAACACATAGCTCGATAACGAAGCAGTAAGCCTCCAAGCCAAGTTCAGATTTTTGAGCCCCCGACACCATTTCCATGGTAGATTTCAGATTACCCATTTCGCAGTACTTGTTAATCTTGGCGTTCTTGTCCGCAACACTGGTGATGGCGGGTGTGGCGAGAGAGTCGGAGACGTGAAATTGGGCACGAGAAAGGCCCGAATTTGGAGATAACATAGGGGTTTTAGAGGAGGGTTTGAGGAAGATGTAACCATTTGAGGGTCTGAAAAAATTTGATTTGTTTTCGTGGCGAGGAAGAAGAGACATCGACAACAAGTTTGGCGGTGCGGCTGTGGCCATCATCATCGTTCTGAAAGGAGATCAATGGAAGGGATGGAATGGAAATGATGAAATGACCATCTTAGTCCTACCTGTGAGAACCACGTGCAAGATACTAATGGAGGAATGACAGAAGATCATTCAAAAGGAAATGGATTGATTGTGGGTGTGGCAGGCGAGTGGTGCAACGGTGTCAGCAGTTCGATGCAGGTCTGGGACGGAAATGACAATGATTTTTTGGGTTTCAATCAGTGGTGGATCCATGAAAAATTATTTGGAGGGTCACATGTAAAAGTTCACATACATTTTTTAGATATATAATACCCTTA